GAGGAAACTTGAAAAGTTCTGGCTGTACCTTTTATTCAGTACCATGACATGAACAGCAAAAATGGTCACATAGAGCACCAAAGGCAGAACTATGAGGCACAGGATTCGAGCAGTCAGGTGCTTCCCCACAGTCACCTGCAAACAAGAAGCCACCACAGGTGGTGGGTATATGAAATGTCATTGTACTATAGTATGAGTCACACTGGAAAGAATAATGGGTGGAAAACCCTAGGCCTTTCTATATTACCTTCCAACACACATACACACACACCACACACACACACACACACACACACACACACACACACACACACACACACACACACACACACACAAAGGATTAACGTGGGTCAACTCTCTGATGTCCTTCCAGGCACTGCACCCATGACCACTGTAAAGGTGAGACTGTTGTTCAACAGTGGCCTCCAGTTCACTGAACTCTCTGAAGTTTCCCAAGACTCCCTGTACTGACTGTGCCAGCCCCTTATTACATGGCAAACTATTGTTGGCCTTAACCTCAAGCCTCAACTTCCTCACAGGCCTCCCTGGAGCACCTAAATTTTGGGGTCTCCCCTCTGCTGTCAAAGGACTGTAAAAGCTCTCTCTTCCTCTCCCCCGTCCATAGGTTCAAGAGGACAGGGATAATGTAGTTACCAGTACATTCCCAACATTCTGCGTTTAGTAAATGGTCCCTATATATTTTCTGAATGAATAAACATGTTGGAAATTTGGTAGTTGAGCCCTGGAGCTGGCCTAACCCAAGCTTGAGTCATAAATTGCCCCCTTACTACCTCTAATACCTGTAGGACCTTGGGAAAGTTATCTCTCTAGGTTTCACATTTTTCATTCGTAAAATCAGTGAGTGGTAATGACCACTTACCACATAGGATTTTAATAATTAGATAATGAAAGCAAACCATTTTGTACAGTGCTTGGCACTGAATCAGCCCTTGATTTACTAATGTCATTTAAAAAAAAAAAAATCCTAACAGTGTAGACTGACTTCCAAATATGGAAATCCTGAGTCAGGAAAAGAAATTGTGAATTCAGAAGTTTAGAGTCATCCCATTCATTTGACCTAAGCTCTTATGCCCTTGTGGACTTGGCACGAATCCAGCTGGACAGAATCCTTTGGCTGGGTGACTTAAAACAAATTAAAGGAGGTAGGGAGGGGCAACAATGAGAGAGAATTGCAAGGCAGTTACTCCATTTACTCTCTTATACTACTCCAGCCCCTTAGTCATGCCCACTCCCTGAATGCTGTCTACAAATGCTGTGCCTGTCCAGTCCGGCTATGGCTCACAACACACAGCACAGTGCACAGCTACTTCCTCCACTCACAGGACAAGTAGAAAAAGGCCGATGGGGCAGCACTATGGAACAAAGACATCCAAAAGCACTTGAGTTCTCACCAGTGAAAGGCTGAGGTCTCCAAGCAGGTGCCAAAGGTCTGAAATGGTATTCAGTCCCACTTGCAGGATGATAAAGAGGCCAACAAACTTGACCCCTAAAGCACCAGCGAGACTAATGCCAGTCAGGCTGAGCCAGAACCACCAGGGGGCAGAGAAAGGCCTGGAAAGCAATAAGACACAGTTCAGTCTGGTAGCTAGAACCAAATGGGAAATCAAGAGCAGCAGTGGGGCAGTGCCCAGACGGCTGTGCTGTACCCTAAGCCTCCAGGTTCTTAACCTCAGGGAACCATGGCAGGGCTCCAAGTAGGCTGTGCTCTGTGAAGGCCCTCAAACTACAGGAAAGACGGTGTGAAAGAAAGTAGCACATTGTTCTGGGGAGGCTCCATGCTGTTCCTGGCTAAAAATATGACATCTTACATAGAGACTTACACTTCACAAGTGACAAGTCAGGTAGACATAAAAGGAAAATCCCAGAAAAGTTCTCTGGATTCAAGTCAGACTTATTCTTTGTGTCACCTCTGAGCCTGCCAAAGCCAGCATTTATTAACTGTTCATTTCATGTCAGGCACCATTCCAGGTGTTGAATCCTATCCTTCTAATCCTCATCAAACCCCTTAAGGTAGAACTCATTAGCCTCTGTTTACACATAAGGAAATAAAGGCACAGATAGGCCAAGCAATGTAGCTAGCAAGTGCTGGAGGGCAGTTCAAGCCAGGCAATCAGCTATTATGTTGATGCTCCTTATGGGTTTGCTGTCCTAACAGCACCCAGTACACTATAGTCGATTTTCTAATGATCTGGCACTTGCCCTGCCAGAATGACAACTCCTTAAAGGCAACATCTTTTATTCCTCTGCCTCTCTCTCCTGGTATGGTACCTGGCACATGCTATGTATTCAAGAAATGGGAGGTGGGTATAGCTCAATGGTGGAGGCTTGCCAAACTTATGAAGCCCTTTTATTTTTCTCCTTAAAAAACAGGGGGAGGGGGTAGATGGAAATGGATGTGGAAGAAGCAGAAGATAACCCAAACCCAGAGTAGGCTGGTAGTCACTAGCTGGGGAGGGAGTAGACTATCATTATATGGGTAAAAACACATTGCTTTTGGGGGCAGCCTAGGATATACCAGCTCTTTTGAATTTTGAACATGGTATTTAGAATATATGGAATGACCTACTCTACTCCCTTGGAGGTAGGAGAAGGATCCAAAAAATAGGGAAATCCTGGAAATAAACCAAAATCCAGACAAGCTTTAGAACTGGCTTGTGTGGACAATTCATCATTAGGTCAGACTGGACACAAGCCTAGAGGCCGTGAGACAGCACCGCTGAGGCAGTGTTTACAATGGTGTCTCCCCTCCAGGGTGGGGGATGTGAAGGATGGCATATCCCAGAGCTCCTTAAACCAGCAATGGTACTGAGGGACAGCTTATAAGGCACAGTGAGGAGGCAGCATCAGGACTCCTCCATAAGGCCCATAAGCTCCTCCCCAGTTACATACTGACTTTAAATATCAGCACCTCTTGACAATCAACAATTTCTCATTTTGTTAAAAGTAAAACTAAAAGCATCTATCAGAGGAAACATTTAGAAATTTTTCATTATCTAAAAAAACAAACGGAAAGCATGCTCCTCATATGCAAGTCCCAGAAAAACCCCAACAGGCCCTGCCACAATCAAACTTCTGGGCTGCCATGGTTCCCCCCACCTTCCCCAGCCCACCGAGATGGTATTTCTGACCTGTCAGCACAGGAGTTGTACTTGACCATGCTCAGCATGGCAGCCATGATGAAGAACATCAGGATAGGGTCAAGGAGAATGTACTGGGACAGAGTGAGGCATCCTGTGTCTGAAAAACAGAACTTCCTGCTCAAAATGCAGAGAGATCTCTGAAAACCAAACACTCTAACAGCAGGAAACAGTCCATCTCTCTTCACTGCAAGCAAGCATCCGGCAATCATGACTAGGTGACCACTCATCTCCACTGGATTATCAGCATGGAGGAGGATTCAGCTTGGGGCACAGCAGAGCCCAATGATAAGAAGCAGTACCAGTGCCACCTGTAGGCCCTGCTTCCCAATCTTTAATTAAGAACTAGGTTGGACAGTGGTGATCACTCAGGAGGCAGAGGCAGGAGAATCTCTGAGAGTTCCAGGCCAGCCTGGTCCACAGAGCAAGTACCAGAACATGGAGAAATCCTCTCTCAAAAAAAAAAGAAAAAACAAACAAACAAAACAAAAAAACAAAAAACAGAACAACAACAACAAAAGAAGTGACTTCACAGATGTGACACTTGAATGTATTGATTTCCAACCACCCACATGCTGTCACGCCCATTTCCCAAAGCACACAGGTGAAGACAACTTACCAAAGGTGAGAAGGGCGGCAGTGAGCAGTGCTGCTGGGAAGGACTTGGACAGATCCAGTACGGTGAGGTAGGCAAAAGGGATCAGCCAGGAACCCAGGAAAGCACAAAACTACGGAAGAAGACAGAAGCTGTCAAATACTCAGCTGACCTGGCATATTAATGTCTAAAATGGAGAACCCTGACAAAAAAAAAGCATGGTATAGGCGATTTAAAATCACCTGGAGTCCACAAGGGAAGTGTCACAGTGAAGAACCACATACAGCCATGGGCATGCCCCTCGGAACCTTGGCATGACATCAGTGACATTTACAGGAAGAGGCATGGCTGCCCATCACAGCCAGCTGTCTCCTGTGTCAGCCTGCCATCATTGCAATGGGAAAGGCCAGAGCTCCTACCTCACAGGCTCAGGCCAAAGAGTACATGAATTCAAGGCTTACTAACATACAAAGCACTTCACCAACATTAGTATCTAGCATAAAGCTATGGGTATAAGCTGGACAGACTTCTTTGAGGCATCTTAATATCTTTGAGACTTCTACTGATATTCGTGTAAGGTTTCCCTGGTTCTTTGCTTTGGGGGTACCAGAAACCACTCTTCATCTACAGAGTGCATTTTGATGTGGGAAAAATGACTTGACTGACACTTCAAGAGATGGAGGATTTGGGGGTTTGATTCTTTCTTTAATCAACAGCCCTCTTCTATTTCCTTTGTCTGTCCATGAGCAGTAAACAGACAAGGCCAGGGTAATGGGAAACTCTTCCCTTTGAGCCATCACTTTTATTAACGGGAAGTAACGTGGCCTAGTGTGAAGAGAATGCATGAAACTATTTGTCCTTTCCAATTCCACAGCAAGTCTATGGTAAGTATTGTGTATACTCTGTGGTGTTCAAGAGTCATTAGAAAGAAAATAATTTCTTGAGAGATCTGGGTGTGGTGGCATAAGCCTTTAATTCCAACACTTGAGAGGCAGAAGCAGACAGATCTCTGTAAGTTCGAAGGCAGCCTGGTCTGCATAGTGAATTCCAGGACAGCTAGGCTGCATAGTAAGACCATGTGGCAAAAAAAAAAAAAAAGTCACTTGGAAGTGTGACCTTAGAGGCAGGGCACTCCCTGTTTAATATGGCATGCAGGACTGTACAGACCATCCAGTGATTAGCCTCAGAAAGCATATGGTCACCTAATCTAACCTGTGAAAGCCAAGTGCTTGGAGAACTCAGGCTGGAGGCCAGCTTCCACAGGTCTCATTAGGTTGCTCCCAGGGAGTTGGGTGTTTAGGCTCTGCCATGTTCCATTAAGCTGATGCTGGGAATTGGGGAGCAGAGGGACTGGAATAGGCATGCAGCCTCCCTGAGAGAGAGACTTGTAAGTGCCCTACTTCTTTTGTGAGGAAGGAAGTAGGAACCTGGAGACAGTGTGAAGATGCCATAATCTGAAGGGAAGGTTGGCAGACACACAACCCAAGCATGGGCTGACAGGCTGTAGTGTTCACGGCTCAGGAGCAACCTCTGTGCTATTTGTGGCCTCTCCTTCTTTCCTTCCCAACTCACTTCCAGAGTTCTACTTTATCGGTGCATTCAATCATCCTCCTCTCCCCACTCAGAAAAGTCCCTTCATCTACACTTGCTGCTTCCAACTGTATCATTTCTGAGTGGGTGTGGTCCCAGGGATTAGTCAGTCTCTATAAAGCAGGAAGCCTTACTCCTCTCATTCCCATATAGCTGTGGTGCTCGTAACTGTCCCCAGGCTTCTGGAACAAAAAGGTACCATCATATCCACTCAGGTAGCCAGCAAGACCGATCAGCATCTGAGGAGAGAGGGATGAACACAAAGATGAAATGCTTAGAAAAAAGATTCCCCTGTCCCCTGTTCTCTCCAGCTGCATGCATAGCCTTCAGTTTCCCTTGACAACCGGCCACAGAAGTGCCAGTGTAACATTCTGTCCTGCAGCTGCTGCAGAGTAAAAAGTCTTTTGTCTAAAGAGCTTGCTTGCTGCTTGAAACAAATCCTCTCTTGTGCCACAGCTAAGTTCTTGGGAATAGTGCAGACTGAACATTTAGGGAGGAAAACACTCCATAATTTGAAAGGTGGGGTCAGTGAAGGGCTCCCACATGAAGCTTTCTTTCCTTCATTTGTTAGGAAATGAAACATGACAGCTCTTGGGGAAGGTCCTGGGCATTCTCACTCCTGGGAGACTGGCCTTCTACCAAAAGAAGAGGCTCCAAATCACAATGAAGAGGGAGGAAAGTAGCCAAGGAGTTACACATATGGAATAAGGGGCAGGAATGAGAAAGAGAGTGCAAAGACAGGCATTGCCCCAGGGAAGCAGGCAGAGAGGGAAGGAGAGAGCTACCCAGCTGCTCTGAGCTTCACAGGTCTAGGCACAGCTGCTTGTCTCTACTGTGAAAAAGCAGACAGGAAAAGGCAGGGCTTTTCTGCCCTTTCCTAGGCTCAGAACTAACTGTAAATTGGGCTACACACCCTCCCTGGGGGTTCTGTCCCCAGTCCTCAGCCTAGGTGGTCATGCTTCCTTGGGTCAACCTGACAGACCGATATCATTAATCCTCCCTGCCCATGCCAGTACTCCAAGATCTGAAGATCTGAGTCTACAGTTAGGAAGAAAGGCTTTTGTGAATACTAAAACTATCCATTTTGTCTTCTCAGGGGGAAAGTTGTTTTTAAAAGAGTAAAAAGAAAATTTAATTGGCAGAATTTCTAATTGTAAAATGCTAGGGAACAAGGTCAATATGTATATTGGGAATCAAGAGAAGGAAAAAGTTTAATTTTTATAGATTACGCTCCTCTAAGTTATGTTTCCTTTATGTAGTATATTATACTTCTATTTTCTTTTATAAAATTGAAAAAAGTTCACATATCAAAAATTAATGATTTTAAAAGTAGTTTTAAATATATCTACAAGGTTGTGCAATCATCACTATGTAATTCTAGAACATTTCATCATCCTGGGAAGAAACCTCCTTGTATCTGAACATTCTTCTTCTATATGGGTGAATACTATTCTGCTGTAAGGATACACATTTGCTTATCCATCCATCAGTTGATGGATGGTCTTCTCCATCCTGAGAAGACCATCTTCTGAACCCAGAGAACCCCTAAAAACACCAAAGATTTTCTATCATAGTACCTGGTCATGGAATTCTGAGGAAATTCTGAAGTCTAAGAATTAAGTCCACACCTAACAGTTAGCTCCAGCTCTTAGAAGCCATCTGCCCAGATAAGAGATTATTAATTATCACACTGCTTACCTTTCCCAGAGGTGGGTGTACATCAAAGAAAAACGTGCGGTTGATATAGTAACTTCCCATTTTTCCAAAGTGAGTCTCATCCCAACTAAAGGAAAAACATAAAAATTTAATAAACCATAGGTAAAGTTACAATTAACACCAACGGTCATGAGTTTCAAGCATGTCATATGCAGGTTGGCTTAAAAACAAAACTTTGGACATAGTGGTTTGAGGAAAACCTTTAAAGCTGGCTATCAACCTAGATCTCAACAATGAGAGAAGTTAACAAACAGTTACAAGCAGTTACCATGTAAATGTAAATGAAATGTAGTTGTCTTCTGTATCTTGAGTTCCTATCAATTGACTTGGAAGCAGCAGTGTTTTCCCTGTGGCATGGAAAGGGGTTGCAAGGCCATGCCTTCCCAGTCTGCTAACTTCTCACTCCGAGGCCACTGAGTCTTAGAATGCACATGGCTACACTGTTAGGCCAATGCAAGAGCCAAGCCAGGTGTTGTCCATCAACCTGCTGCCTCAGATCTGCCTGACCTGTTATAATGACCAGCTGTCTACAGAAGCCAAATTTCCTCACTAAGAGATTTCCAAACCCCATGCCTAGCCTATGTTCTTTTGCAAGTACATATGTGAATCTAATATTTAACTTTCCAACCCAATGTGAAGTCTTGTTCTGCCACAACCACATCAGCCTTTTAATGCCCTGCAGGAAGGGTTTACAAGGCAACCACCCCATCCAGCAGAGCCTAGCTGTTTGATATTTTCTTTCTGTAGCTCAAAAGAAGCTGGCTTTCCAGTGACTATGCCCCAGGTCAGCCTCCATGAATAGCCATTACTTCCCTATCACATACTCATGCTTTTTCCAAAGAATGTTCAGGTCTCGATTATTATTTTAAATTCACGGGGCCCAGCAGATGGGTAGAAGACTAAAGCTGCTGCATCAGCCAAGGACACAATGAGGTACTGACAGTAAGATGACGATGTTAAAGAGAGAATTAACTTCAGGGTAGAGTAAAGCAAACAGACCACAGAAAGGAGAGTTGTTGCCAGCTCCATCAGCTACTAATGTCACGACATGACAAAGCCATGCTCTTCATGCTCCTCCCAGGGAGGTATTAGGGTGCAACTCAGGTAATGCAAGCAAAGGAACCTTGTAGACTTAGAATTCTATTACACATACTAGACACTGAACTGTCCCAACATTTTCTGTTAGTCTTGAAGTCTATTTGGAAACAGAAGGACATGGGATTTTTATTTTAAAAGTTTCTCAAATAAAATCAGCAGTAACATACACTCTCCTCTTGGATGTTACTACTTGTGTCAGGAAAAGCGTCTACGGCTCTCTCAGACTCTTACAGCCCTTGTAGAGTATGCCAAGAATGCCCGGGCCTGACTCATCTGCACTCTTTGCTGTGCTATGAGAAATATATTCCCTTGTCACTGATTTAGGAGTTTTCTTCTACTGCCACCCTTAAAACAGCAGCAGGTTAAATTCTCAGTTTGCAAACACACTAAAACATATCCAAGACCCTGTCAACACAAGGTTGGTGACATACCTAGCTTTCTGAACAAGAAGGGATAAGGGTCCTCATGGGCTGAGTTAGATACAAATACAAGAGAAGACTTCCTGAAACCTGGTGGTGAATGTTCTTACCCAAGTGAAGCAGTGGGCAACAAGAAAAGCACTGTCTGCAATGTTCTACTTAGTAAACAAGCTCAATGAAAAAAGTAGGGCAGCAGTAAGGACCCTGCTATTCTGCTATTCCTTCCTTTATCCCCCAACCCCTGCACTATTAAGAGAGCAAACCCTGGGCCTATGAACAACAAACAAGTGCTTTCCCATTAACCTACATCCTCAGCCCATCATTACCCTGTTATTCAACATTACAATGAGAGTTAAATGTGAAATGCCCCTCATCAGCACATGTGTTTGAACAACTGGTAGTGCTGTTTGAGAGATTATGGAAACTTTGGGGCATGGGGCACGGCTGGTAGCTGGGACCTTTGGTACCAGTTTCTGCTTTTTGGTTTAGTGCTCTGCGCCCTGGTCCACCAAGATATGAGGTGCTTTGGCCTCAGCCTCCCACCACTGTAGAGTAAGCCACTCTAGTCACCATGATGGCCTGGATGTATCCTCTAAAACTAATGAGCCCAATAAACCTCCTCTCCCTGAAGTGGTTCCTCTCAGGTATTGGGTCACAGCATTGAAAAAATTAATTAATACATTGTTAAGTTTAGCACTCAGGAGGCTGAGACAGAAGGATGGCTAAAAACTTTGAGGCCAGTCTGGTCTACACAGCAAGACCTTGTCTCAAAAAGCAAAACAAAACCAAATAAATAAAAACCACTGGAAGATCCTTGGGTAAGATGTATGCTCAAGGCCAAAGTACACGTGCCTTGTTCACTGGTGCAGAGCCCCAAATGCTTTGATACCTCTTGTCATTATCTTCAGCTGCTTTAAAGAGGAAGGTCACATGTCCCCAAGCAGACTGAAGACCATACACATTCCTCTTAGTGTGCTAGGGAACTCCAGGGCGGAAAGAGACCTAAACTCAGAGCTCTTGTGCATTGAGGCCCCATCTCCTCCTACCCAGACCCATGGGGGCCAGGCAGAGGGGGAATATGGGGATTACCAAAGGCACTAAGGACTGCAGTATGTACAGAGCTAAAAGACAAAGGGCCTCTAAGCCCAGGGGCTCGGTGGACAGAGGTAAGGACCCTGGGGAAGGAGTGGTGTCAAGTCAGTGAGGAAAGTTTTCTACCTCTCTAGTCAGTATTTCCCATACCCAGTGAAATAGCATGTTCTCTGGGTGGTACCAGATTAAGCTCATTAGTTCAAGGGGGAAAGAAGCCAAGTTTAACTGATTAGGTCTGAGCCAAGTTTTCAGTAATTAAAGTACCTTGTGGGTAGGAATCATGGGACCATTTCAGTGTACTGTTGTTGGGTACCCACTGCTGAATGTACAGCTTGTATTGATCTCAAAAAGTATCAGAGGGGGCTGTCTCCTTCAAAGGACTGTTGTGTGCAGAGAGGTAGCCCTGCTCCCTCCTAGTGGTCCAGGGGAAAGAAATCCCAGAAAAAGGAAAGGGAATCCAGCTTTAAAGAGAAAGCTGTGGAGGTGCTAAAGAGTTTTGTAAACAGGAGGACCTGAGCTTGGATTCCCAGAAACCATACAAACAAAACCAGGTGTGGTAGAGTGCCCATTATGTCAGTACTGAGCCCACTGGTCAGCTCCAGTACAGAAAGAGCCCCTCTCTAAAAAAGTAAGGTGGAGACAAAGGAAGACATTCAGTCATTCAGTATCAACTTCTATGCACACTGCACATACACACATGCACACACATACACACACATGCACACACACATACATGCAAGTACACAGTCACCCCCCCCCATACATACAAATACACAAAAGCGCAAGGTGCACACACACCCATTAAGGACTGCTAGAATACTATGAAACTAGTCACCAGCATAACAGTGCCACCTGCTGAACACAGGTACTAAGTACACTCTTCTAAAAGGCCAGTTATTAACCTCTTGTTGATAGGGTACCTAAGCCACAAAAGTCTCAGGACTCTCTGGCCCTCTACTTCCACTTTGGAATAGGTTACCTTGGAGTTTATAACTAACAAAAGGCTGATTCAACAAGTGGGTGTAGACAAGAAGACAGTCAACCTGGCCCAGGAGGTTGCTCAGTTCTACATAAAGCAGCAGGTGTCCCCTTTGGGAGAAACCATTTCCTATTCCACTCTGAAGTACAGCCACTAGTTCAGTGGGGCCCATGACTCACAGATCTGCTTTACAGTGCCCATCCCTGGTTCTCTGAAGGTTAAGCTAAGTAAAAAGCAAATACCAACAAAATGGCAGCAGCCATTTTGCCCTAAAGACAACTGTGCTCAATAGTTTTCTGTCAACTTGACACAAGCTAGTCATCTGAGAGGAGGGAGCCTCAATTAAGAAAATGTTACCATAACATCGGGCTCTAGGCAAGCCTGTAGGATATTTCTTAACTAGTGATTGATGTGGGAGGACTGAGCCCATTGTGGACGGTGCCATCCCCTGGGCTGGTGATTCTGGGTTCTATAATAAGAAAGCTGCTGAGCAAACCACAAAGAGCAAGCCAGTGAGCAGCACCCCTCCCTGGCCTCTACATCAGCTCCTGTCTACAGGTTCCTCCGCTGCTTGAGTTCCTGTCCTGACTTCTTTTGATGATGGACAGTGGAGTAGAAGTATAAGCCAAATAAACCCTCTCCTCCTCAAGTTTGTGTGGTAATGGTGTTTCAGCACAGCAATAGTAACCCTAACTAAAACAACAATTCTGGCTGCCTGACTGCAATCAAGTTGAAGTGTCTGACGTATCACTTAGAAGACTGAACTGAGAGACTCAAGACACTCTCCAGGGATCTAGAAACTGTCTGCTCGCTGATGGAGTAGTCCTGCTTACTCATGAAGATACCCATACATCATACAGGATGTAGTCTGATATAACTAGCTACACTTAAGGATCCTAATCATACACCATCCAGCCCTGCCTGTACTGCACTGGGTGTGAAAACACATGCAGTATCATGAACTAACTGAGCACAAAATTTTAAAGGCCCATAGGTCTCTGAAGCAGAAGCTGCCATGGTATCCCTGGCTGTGACAGAATATTTGTTTACACTGTAAAGAAGTGCCTCTGCCTAAGGCACCTTCTGATTGGTTTAATAAAGAGCTAAATGGCCAATAGTTAGGCAGGAGAGAAAAGGCAGGACTTCTGGAGGGGGGGCAGAGAGAGAGAGACACTGAGATAAAGAGACAGAGAGATGGGGGGGACTGGGAGGAGGGATCTAGGCATGACATTTCACCAGCAGATCTGTAGCAAGTTGGATGTGTCATACTAAGAAGTAACCAAACCAGGTGGCAGAACACAGATTTTTAAAATATGGATTAATTAAGTTATAAGAGCTATTTGAGGGAAAGCCTAAGGTAAGGCCAAACTTTCATAATTAATAATAAATTTCCAGGTCATTATGTGGGCTGGGAGTCCAAAGATAGTCTAACAAGAAAAAATTGCTACACCAGGCTCCTGCCAAAAGCTGGCCTACTTG